GGGAAGCCAGCCAGCTCTGGGACCAACTTGGAGAAATGTTGGTGGTGGCAAAGACCGCAGGTAAACAAGGCCAGGAGCCCAGCAGGTGGCCCTGCTCTGCCACCACTCGGTGAGTGGCCCTTGCTGGGCTTCTACATGATAGACTTTGGTGTCACTGGGGCAGCTGGAGGTGGCCGGGGAGTGTCGTGGGTGGGAGAGAGAAACGAACATAGGATGAGAGTATTCGTGGTTACCTCCGCCCCCACTCTTCAGCCAGAGCAGCAGCAGTCTCGCTCATATCACCGAGTGGATTTTCCTGTGCGATTTTATCTGAAGAAAGCTTTTGCTGCTAAAACAAAGCTTGAAAGTCAGATACCCACGCCCCAGCCCCCAAGCTGCTTTCCCCTCTCATCTTTTGATAACATTCACCTGCCACAGTTCATCGGTTCCGCCTTGATGACTTCCTGGTCTGTTAGAATTTTGAAGACGTTAATAATGTGTGAGTTTTTCTCCTTTTACAAAACCACTGCTTAATTTGGAACATAATTTAAACTTGCTTTTCCCCAGTGACCTAGAACTAGGCTAGTGCGCAGGGCTGACGGGCTGGGGGGGCGGGTACAGTTTCTGCAGGGCGCCCCACTCTCCTCTGAGAATGATGAGGTTTACAGCCGTGAGGTAAAAATAGCTTCGAGCCGCTTCCGGCAGGAAGACACTTACAAAGGGAAAAAAGGATTCATTTGCTAAAAAAGGAAAAAGGCTCCCAAACTGCTACCATAATTTTGGAATTTATTTTTGCAAAATGTATCAGGGGGCAGAAAGATAATCTTGCGCTCAATTCAGCCCGTCCACTTGCCCTGAGGAAGTAAACCTAACTTTAAAAAAGGCCCACTGGCTAGTTGTATCCTCCTAAGAGGGCCACAGCTCCTGCGGGGTGGCACCACGCAGCCCCCCTTTCTGGGTTCTGTTAACTGCTCCCCCCCCAACTCCTTTAGTGGGGGTGTAGCCCCACAGCACTGCAATATCCCTTGTCCTTTACCCTTAAATTCTGCCCACACCTTTGTAAACACCTGTAGACCTTTATTAAGCCCTCCTCAGACTACCCTGGTTAAATGTGCTATCTGGTTCCTACCAGGACCCTGACGGATACTGGTAAAATGTATGCATGACCCCTAAGTGCATTTACTCATTTAATCATAACAATGACCGGCAGAAGTAAGTCACATTGCTTTAGAGATGAAATAAATGAGCTATACAGTTGCCCTAGATCAGTGGTTCTCAACCTTCCTAATGCTGCGACCCTTTAATACAGTTCCTCATGTTGTGGTGACCCCCAATTTCATTGTTACAAATTGAACATAATTAAAGCATAGTGATTAATCACAGAAACAATATGTAATTATATATGTGTTTTCCGGTGGTCTTAGGCGACCCCTGTGAAAGGGTCGTTTGACCCCCAAAGGGGTCGCGACCCACAGGTTGAGAACCGCTGCCCTAGATGGTTGGGCAGTGGGTTGGTCAGCAGACAGAAGGATTGCAGCTTTGATCCCTGGCCCCAATTGGGGTGCTGGGTGTGTGCGGGAGACAACCAATCGATGTGTCTCTCTCACACTGATGTTTCTCTCTCTCTCCCCACCTTCTCCTGCCCTTCCATCTGTCTGAAAAAAAGGCCCACTGGACAAAGCTGTTCTTGGCAGTGCTGTGGGCAAAAGTGAAACAGTGAAGCAGGAAAAAATACTCAGGGTTGAGGGCAGAGGTTTAGGAATCTCATTCATTCATTCATTCATTCTCGTCCACTCAACACCTACTGGTCACCTGTCCACACCTGGTCCTGGTCCTGTGCAAAGTGTGGGAGGCAGAGCATTCATGCCTCAGGGAGCTGAGGGGCATGAGGGCTACACAAGGCTTACAATCCAATGTGATCAGGGAAGCACAATGAGCAGGGACACAAAAGAGGGACCAGAACTCAAGCTTAGGTACTCAAGGAAGGCTTCCGGGAGGAAGCGACTTCTCAGCTGGGCTATGCATGTTGTGGCGGCTGGCAAGGAAATACGGGAGGAAGCGTGTTAGGACAGAGCGCGTGGAAAGACTGCGTGGTGGCAGAGAGCAGACTTGGTGTCAGGACAGACAGCTCGGCAGCGGGAACAGAGCCGGTGTTGCAGGGACACAGCCCACCGAACAGGCCCTGTGCGCCACCTGAAGGAGTGCTCTATGAGAGCCACTGCAGGCTTTCACCAGGAGAGGGACATATTTCGAAAGCTAGCTCGCTGCTAGCGAGGCCTGTGCAGCCAGGCCAGCTTTGACGGTGGCCGGCCAGGGCGGAGGCAGCGCAGATGGGGGGTGGGGTGGGGGGGGCCCACATAGATGCAGGCGACAGTGAGTGTTGGGGAGGCAGAATGGTGCTGTGGTTAGTGAGAACTCAGGACCCGACTCCACAGGTTCCCATCCAACTTCCTTGCTGTGTGGCCCCTCGAAGTTCAGGGTCACAGTCAGAAGCCGTCTCATGGGCTTGCTGGGAGGATGGAGGAGTCTCCGTGTGTCACTCAGTGGTGCCGCGTGGGGTCACTGCTGCTATTCCAGTCACTGTCACTGGCAGCCATTGATGTGGGCAGCGGGTCAGAGAGGGCGAGACGGATGCCTACGGTGCTGGTCTGGGCACTCGGGAAGACGGAGTGCAGATGTGGGGGGAGAAGTGGGTGCAGTGGTTTGGGGAATGAGTCTGAGGCACTAGGGGGACAGCAGGGGTGAAGCTAAGGAAGCCGAGTCAAATACAGGGATTTGGGCCTTAGAGAGGCCTGCAGAGCACAGAGGGCTAAGCGACAGACAGGGAGGGTCTTTTTTTTTTTTTAAATATATTTTATTGATTTTTTACAGAGAGGAAGGGAGAGGGACAGAGAGTTAGAAACATCCATGAGAGAGAAACATCCATCAGCTGCCTCCTGCACAACCCCCCCCCCCCCCCCCCACTGGGGATGTGCCCGCAACCAAGGTACATGCCCTTGACCGGAATCGAACCTGGGACCTTTTAGTCCACAGGCCGACGCTCTATCCACTGAGCCAAACTGGTCAGGGCAGGGAGGGTCTTTTTAATGGGAAAGAGTTGAGCTGCCTAAACACTGGTGGGAAGAGCCTGGGGAGAGCACGCTGAGGACAAATGCTCCCAGTAGGCGTGGCCTTTATGATTTTTCTTGCCATTATCATCACCGTGAAAGGCCTGGACAAGGAGCCATGATATTAATCACAGCCGCCTGTTTTGCCGCTAACAGGAATCATTTATAACGAGGTTATAATGACATGGAAGAATTGCTTATAAAGTGATAAGGAAAAAGAGATATAAAGCATTGTATATGCAATATGTCAACTATGGAAACACACCTAAAATGTACGTGCAGAGAACTATGCAGGGAGGGATGCCTGGAAGAAGTGGTGCTATTTCTGGGTGGTAGGGGTCGAGCAGGCTTCCTTCTGAATCTGCCAGAATGGGTGTATGTTAGCTTTTTCATTAAAAAGTCAAGTAAACTTTATTTTATAAAAGGAAACCAACTAGGGTGGCTAGGGGCTGCCCCTGCCAAGATCACCAGGACAAATCCTTGTTCTCCGAGGGCTTGAGTTTCTACATCTATAGAAAGAGGGGGCTAAAGAAAAGGTTCCCCAACGTGTGTTTCTGGAGACTCTGCCTTTGGAGAGGTCCCAGAGAGGAAAGGCTGTGTAGTCAGGCTTTGGGAACTCTGTGTGCTCACAAATTCTGAGAAGATCCATCCCCCCCCGCCCCAAAAAAAGCCCTGCTCAAACCTGTTTAACTGTCAAACACAAGGTTTATTAACACCCTGTGGAATGGTGTTCCAAGGAACACACTTTGGGAAACACTTTCCCAAGTTCCCCTGCAGCTCCACCATTCTACAAGGAATTCAGATAAACATCCTTCTGTGGGGTTGGCAGAGCAACTGGGGGACCTGGGGGAAGGTGAGACTGTGGTAGCTGCTTGGCTGCCCTCCTGGACCCCACATCCCCCCCACCAATGGCTGTCCTGAGCACCTGTGTCCTCCCAGCCTCTGCTCCCAGCTGATGCCTCCGTTCGGGTGTTGCCTCGGCCTGGGAAGGAGACACGGAGGAGGGAACATGCCAGAACAGGGACAATCCTCTCCTTTTCCATCTCTGCAAACTGCGTATCTGAAAATGCTTTCATATCACCTGATGCCACGACCCCCAATGACTGATGTGAGGATGGGGCAACCTGAGGTGCCCCCAGCCGGGAGCTCTGGGATGCTGCCTGGCTCCTGGCCCAGTGGCCAGGGCCATTGCTTGTTATGCTAATGAGGGAGGGAGTGAATAATGAGTACCCACAAGGCTAATCCTGGGCTGTTTAAACAATTTCATTTAAATGCAGGCAAGTAGGAAGACAGGAATAATGGTTCACAATACCCCTTTTCTATTATTGAGCTTAAAAAATGGTGGAAGTATACAGAAATAAAAATAGATTTTATAAGTAAACTAGAGGCCCGGTGCACAGATTCCTGCACTGGTGGGGTCCCTCGGCCTGGCTTTTGGGGATCGGGCTAAAACTCCCTCCAACATCCCCCGAGGGGTCCCAGATTGCGAGAGGGTGCAGGCCAGACTGAGGGACCCTACTGGTACACGGATTCATGCACCGGGCCTCTGACATTCCCCAATGGGTCTGGGGTGCAGGTGAAGCAGATTCAGGGCTGACAGTGCCCCAGCAGCAACCTAACCCACGGCCGATTCTGCAAGGAATCGGGCTCCCTCCTCTACCAGTTGGAGCGTCTGCCCCCTGGTGGTCATTGCATATCATAGCTACTGGTCAAATGGTTGGACAGTTCCTTAGGCTTTTATATATATAGATAATGGTTCCCTTTTCCTTCCCTGATATGGTTATTCCCTCAATTATTCATTTGAAAATGATTATTTTGTGAATCCAATGAATGTTTATACACCATATGCAAATTATAGCCCCCAGGTGAGGTAAAATATCTATATATGAAACAGAATATAGTGTGAATCATAGCTAATTTTAAATATTTTAATTTATATACTTTCATGATTATAGGTCAATAAGAAATCCACTTTTCAGATTTTATTTCATTACAGAATATATTTGATAAGGATACATACAAACAGATTCACCTTTAACACATGTTCACTGGCGCCCTGTCCGCAGCAGCCGGGAGCTGTCTGTCATCACAACACTTCGCAGTGTCGTGACCAATCGGCTGGCAGGACAGCCAGGGCTGAGTCCAGACAGCTCAACATTTACTTGCCTAGAACAAGTAAAAACCTTAATATTTGTTTTTAAAGTCTGCTTATTACTCTTCTATTTTAAAATCTGAGATACATTCCTCAATGTAAACAATACATTTCAGTCTACCTCACAATCGAAATGGATAAGGCCTTCTTGACAAATGGACGCCGCCTACGTTTTACTCATCAGAACGCAATCTCATTTCATCGCCAAGCGAGCCGGCCGGGCACAGAAGACAGGAAAGAAGCTGCCTTGCGTACCTGGCGGAGCCTCCCAGACTCCCTGCTGGAGGTTTGTGGTATCTTTTTGACTTGGTCTACTTGGTCTTAAAATACAAATATACAATGTCCATAAGCATAAAATAGTAAAGCCTAGCCTTACGTATTTATTTTGAATCCCTAAAATCCTATACAAGTACAATACCATATCATGCCAATTAATATACAGAGGAAGGTGGCCAAATGTCTCCACTGACGGGGCAGGTGGACGGGGACCACAGGGGGCGCCATTCACGAGGGTGTCAGGGCTGACTGCGTTGGGGTCGGCGGGCAGTCTAGCTGCAACTCTGAAATGCCTGTATCCCCGGCTGAACCGTTAATCAACCCCCTTCCCACCCGCCTCCCAGAGGGAGAACTGAATGGAACCGTAGACAATGGAACCAAAGAAAGTCATAGCTGCATTTCCTGACTCAGCTGTGCAGTCGGTTCTTCCCTCTACTCAATCCGTGTGTCCCTTTAGGACCAATTAAGCAACAGTGATCGTGATTCAGTACCTCATTCTCATAAATCCCGGCCTCGCAGGCTCCATGGTGAGCGAGTCAAGCCTACATACAGTATCTGAAGGCATTCTGTGACCGTTTCGAAGAGTTCATAGAAAAGGTAGGAAGGATATACCAGTTAACCTGTTGATGTCGCCGTGCTGTAAACCTTGGCTTTTTTTTTTTTTTACATTACATGTGTTTTATATATTGTACAACAGAGAAACCTGAACTGCTGATCCGACGTGGCGCTCACTGATCCACTACGCTAAGGTAACCGGTACAGGGAGTGGTTTTCCTGAGGTTTGTGAGAACTTTTCAAACAAAACAGAAATCACAGTGACCGAGTAACCGAGTCTGTGCCTCGGGGCCTGCGCTGCTCCCGGGTCCCCGCCGGCACTAAATGACCCGCCACTGCATGATGCTGGTGTCTTTGCCGCCCGTGGAGATGAGGTGGCTGTCATCACAGAGGAAGTCTACGTTGGTGACGTGACTGCTGTGCCCACTGTACACGTGGCTGGGGGCCTGGGAAGAAGACAGGGAGGGAGCTCAACGCAAGGCGCACGATCTGGAGCCGACGGTGTGGGAATTCTGCGCGCGTTCCCGCATTCCTGCATCTCCCCTCACTCGGCTGTGTTCCTTCACGCCGTGCTCTGCACAGCTCAGGCGGGACCCAGACACAACCACTGGGGGACAGACAGGGGCAAGGGACTGTCCTGGGTGGACACATTCAATCCCAGAGATGCCAGCGGTGGAGGGTGAGGGGTGTCCTGCGGAAGGAGGGTCAGGGAAGGGAAGGGCCAGGAGGGGCGAGCTGGGCAGAGGTGCTGGCTCAGCACAGCAGGGCTGCAGCAGAGGGGCTGTGGTGGAGGGGAGAGGAGTGGGACCCACCAAGGAAGCCACAGAGGTAGCGGAGCCAGGTCTAAGGGCTTCCTGGAGGCAGGGGGAGCCCCTGAAGTGCTCAAGGGCAGCGGTGACAGGGCCAGGTCTGCGCCTGTGATCGGTGGCATGCACTCATGGGCCTTTCTATGTAAGTGCCAAGCGCATCCCACGAGGGGTGAGGTTTGTGAAGACCGGTCCTTACCCTGAACTGCGAACAAGGGTAAGAGAAGAGGTGCACTTTGCCGAAGTCATCGCCCGTCGACAGGACTTTCTTCTCGTGGGCCCGACAGACGGCATTGATGTCGGTCCCGTCCGAGCCTTCGGGCCACACTCCTAAAACGAAGATCACAGACAGCATGGGAAATACCAGAAACACTGCCACTGCGTGGGGACTGCTTTAAACTCTCACCAGAGTAAAATCGCCCACGTCCCAGGCTTAGACCAGGGCCAAGAGAGCGCTCTGTCTGGTTCTGGGTCTCTCCCTGTTCCCGTGAGCGGCTCACTCCAGGCCTCCCAAGAACCCCTTCAAGGCTCAGCCCTGCTCTGTGGCAGGGCAGGAGCAACAACAGGCTCGCTGGGCTCCTACCTTTTGGGGGCCCCTTCTTTTTTGTCCTTTTTTGCGGGGGAGGCTTCTTGACAATACAGCACAAAGTGCGCCAGAAACCCTGCTTCTGGACACAGTGCCTTTCTTTTGTCCCCAAGTGTCTGATGGGAAGCTGACTAGTTCTCAAGGATGCAGTGTCCTGTTCTTTTTTCCAGGCAACTCTTTATATGTGAAAGTCTCTCCCAAGAACTTTTTAACCCTGAGTCTGAGTGTGCCTTTCAGACATTTCTTGGGGTCAGCTCTTTGTGGCTGCTGCTTGCTGACACCGGGCAGGTGTGTCTGCCTGCCGTGGGCCGGGGGAGGCAGCAGCTCTGGCTCTGGTGGGCTGGAAGCCTGGTCTGGGTGGTGTCTCCTGACCATTGCTCCAGGAAACCCCTTTGGTCCCAGTCACTTCGGCTCCGAGAGAGCTGTGTGTGCATCAGTTTCTCAGCTGGAAGTTCCGCAGTAAACCCGGGGGTCCTCGCTTTTAATACCAGAAAATGGTAAAATGCCAGCTCTAAACAGAGTTATGAAATTCTGACCAAATGACTGACCTATAGTCTTGCAGAAAGAGGTTATAAATACTGTATTGTGGCAATTTAATTTAGATCATTTAGGAATATATTCCTAATCTGAACTTAGAAGTGAAAATTCGAGTTTAAGGACCAAGAAGATGGAGTAATAACTAACAAAGGACGAGTGAATTGACTGAGTGCCGTCTGCTCATCTGCCCAGGAACTCGGGCACAACCATCACACACAGGGAAAGGGTGGACACCGTGTCCCGGCTCCTCTCGCCCGGCCCTCCCGGAGCTGCAGGGACTGGGTCCTGCGGGCTCACAGAGCGGCTCAGCACGCTGACGAAACTGGCAACTCCGAGCCTTCCTGACCGTTAGGGGAATATTCTGAAAGTGGACACACTTACATCTGAACCGCGTGAAAGCTGCGGAAACTTACCAAAGACGTGGAATCCCAAAGTGCAGGTGTATGTAGCCCACTCGATGTCTCTTGTAGTTTCCACACTGACGACTTGCTTGCATGCGGAGGGAACCCCTGGAAAAAGCAAACGCAGGTGTGGTGACACCTGAGCAAAAGCCCCCTCTCCTTCTGGGGCGAGACAGAGCCCTCAGGAAAGGGACCGGATCCACCTCCCAGCCCAGGGGAATCGCACTCCTGGTCGGCACTGAGCCCAGCCCGGGGCCTGCGAGGGGCCCACCTCTTCCTCGCTTTCCTCCCACCTCCCTCTCTGGGTCTCTTTCCCCCAGCCTGGCTTCTCTTTTCTTTGACCATCCTCTGGCTCCTAGGCCTCCACCTGCTCCTGTGCCCCCTGGAGCCCTGAACACAACTTAAGCTCCCCAGCCCTCCCCTTCCTCACATACACATGCATATGCGTGCACACCCCAATCCCTTTAACTCCAAGCTTATGGAAACCAGTTGACCAAGTACCTATGGCCTCCCAGGTGACTGGTTTGTTCCCCAAATGAGCTCTTATTAGTGAAGTGTGAGACTGTGTTTGAGAAGAGTCTAGAGCAGTGGATCTCAACCTTCCTATTGCCGCGACCCTTTCATACAGTTCCTCATGTTGTGGTGACCCCCAACCATAAAATTATTTTCGTTGCTACTTCATAACTGTAATTTTGCTACTGTTATGAATCATAATGTAAATATCTGATATGCAGGATGTATTTTCATTGTTACAAATTGAACATAATTAAAGCATAGTGATTAATCACAAAAACAATATGTAATTATATATGTGTTTTCCGATGGTCTTAGGCGACCCCTGTGAAAGGGTCGTTCGACCCCCAAAGGGGTCGCCACCCACAGGTTGAGAACTGCTGGTCTAGACCCAGGGCCTGTCCCTGAAAACCTTCTCCTGTTTCTGCCCCGCACAAGGCAGGACCTTGGAGAGGGCGGGAGGGCTGACCCTGGCTGCCTGCCATGCTGGAGGGGGCATGGTCCTGGCCCAGGTTTCTTCTCCTTTCCTTCCACCTCCAGCTGCCGTGCCTGTCCGGGCTCTTCAACAACTGGGTGATCATCCCCGCTCCCTCCGCTGGCCTTGATGCCTATAGCCTCGTGTCTGGGCCCCGATTTCCTTGTCTACAAAAGGGGATGAGCCTGCAAGTGCTGAGGCTCCTGGAGGAGATGGAGGTCAGAGCAGCACACTTTTTAGTGGCCCCTTGTGTTTAGCCAGAGCTGGGCATGCGGCAGGTGCTTGGCAAGTGTTTGCAGAAGCAGAGCATGGCATGCACCATGTGCTTAGTAAGTGCCAGCCATTATGACCCTCACCACTCCCAGGTCCTGCCTGGGCACAGACACCGGCCAGAGGGGTTGGGAGAGGAGGAGGGGTCCCAGGGGGCTGCTGTCACCCCAGGCGGGAGAGCCTTCATGGTCTGCCTCAGGGGGATGATGTCCCCACGGGGTCCCTCTCACTATGACGGCTCTGACCCCACTCTCTTCTGCCACAGCTGCCCCCTCCGGCTTCTCTCTGCAGAGCCTGGCCTTCTCCTTCCCGGGGCCCTTATCTCCTCGAGAGGACCGTGGTCGGCCCGGTCTCAGGCGTCTCAGCGTTGGGAAGGACTTGCGTGGGGCCCAGCCCACCTTCTGTTTCACAGAGGACAGAGCCGAGGCCCGAGATGTACGGGAAGCGGGTTTGGCAGGAGGCCAGCTTTGGTCTCAGAGGAAACATAACCCTGGGTGCTACTCACAGTAAAGGATTTCGTAGTCTCCAGAATTTGACACGAGGAACTGTGAGTTTACAGACCAGTCCAGGTGAGTAATGAAGCTGGAATGACCCTGGGAGAGGAACACAGCCTATGAGGTTCCCGTGTCTGATGAGCTCCTGACCAACAGTAATGACCCCCAACACGGGCATGAGAAATCGCGGGCTTACCGAGCATTTGCCGACTCGTGTGTACTTCCGCCCATTGTCACTGACTCCGTAGATATAGATACAGTTGTCATGGGAGCCTATTGCTAAGAAATTCCCGTCTACAAAGATATGGCAGATTATAATTCAATTATTAAAAATAAACACTTGATCAATTATAAGGGGTAATGCTAGGTGCCATCACAGATTTAGAAAACAGCCAGATTAATGAGTTATTCCAAAAAGGAAACGTGCGCTTGAATGACTCCTCTCCCACTTCTAGAACTACCTTTTGGAAATTGCACCTGGCCAGTTCCTCTCCTTATAACACCCTTTCCTGCTCAGAAGCGGAGGGACCGAGGCTCAGTTTGTAAGTGAGGCCACAAGGCCCTCCAGGATGTAGCCACTCATTCTTCATGGAGCTACAGGTTCTCTCAGGCCTTTGAACACGGCCTCCTCCCTGGCCTGGGAGGCCCTTCCCGCCTCATCTCTGTGCACACTGCCCCCCTCTGCCTGATTATTGAAAAGATCAACAAAGTTGACAAATCTGTAACTAGATTGACCAAGAAAAAAGGAGAGAAAATACAAGTTACCAGATTCAAGAATGAAAGAAGACTTCACTACCAACCTCAGAAAGATGAAAAGGATTAAAAACAAATGTTACGAACAACTTTATGCCAATAAATTAGACAACTCAGATGTAAAAATCACCAAAACCGACTTAAGAAAAAACAAAACATTTGAATAGATCTATAAGAAGTTGAGAAATTAAATTAGAAATTAAAAACCTTCCTACAAAGAAAAGCCCTGATAGCTCACTGAATTCACATGAATTCTATCAAATATTTAATAAAGAAATAACACCAATCCTTGATAAACTCTTTCAGAAAATGAACAAAGAAGAAACATTTTCCAAGTTTCCCTGTAGGCCAATAGCAGTCTCATAACTAAGCCAGACAAAACCATCACAAGAAAACTTCAGACCAATATCCTTCATAAACATGGATGCAAAAATCCTTAACAGAATATTAAACAGAATCCAGCAAAATATAAAAAGGATTAGATACCATGACCACTTGAGATTTATCCCAGGAATGCAAAGATGGCTTAACATCTGAAATTAATGTAATGCACCATATTGATAAAATGACAAAAACTACATGATCATCTTGATAGATACAGAAAAAGCATTTGGCAAATTCTAACTCCCATTCATAATAAAAACCAACCAGATTAGGAATGGAAGGGAACTTCCTCATGATATTTAACAATAAATGACTGTTTCACCCTAAGACTGGGAGCAAGGCTAGGACCCATTTTGCCATTTCTGTTCATCATCACATTGGAGGTTCTAGCAAATGCAATAAGGAAAAAAATAAAGGCACCCAGATTAAAAAAGATGAGTAAAACTGTCGTTATTTGCAGATGACATGCTCCCGTATGAAGAAAATCCCAAGAATTTTACACACAAAGAAACCTACTAAAACTAATAAAAGAGTTTAGAAAGGTCACAGATATAAGATCCATGTGCAAAAACGATTTATTTCTCTGTACTAGCAAACTACATTCTGAAAACAAAAGAAAAACAACTTCATTCACAATGGCATAAAAAGCAACTTGGGAACAAATTTAACAACGGAAGTAGAAGACTTGTGCACTGAGAACTGTAAAACATTGCTGATAAAAATTGAAGATCTAAATAAATGGAGAGACATTCTAAGTTCAAGGATTATAAGACTCAATCTTGTAAAGATAGCAATTCTCCCCATATTGATCTATATAAGTTCAACATATTACAATCCTGGTAGATTTTAAAATTAGAACTTGACAAGTTGATTCTAAAATTTACATAGACATGATAAGGACCTAAAATAAGTAAAAACAATTTTGAAAAAGAACAGAATTGGAATAATTACACTATTCAATTTTAAAAATTACTGAAAAAGTACAATAATCAAAATTGTGTGGTATTGGTATATGGATAGATATATAAATGAATGAATAGAACTGAGAATCTTGAAATTAACCTTTATATTTATTGTTAATGGATTTTCTGTTGTTGTTAATCCTCACCTGAGGATATTTTCCATTGTTTTTTAGAGAGAGTGGAAGGGAGGAGAGAGACACAGAGAGAGAAACATCGATGTGAGAGAGACACATCAATTAGGTGCCTCCCACATGGGATCGAGCCAGCAACCCGAATATGTGCCCTTGACCAGAATTGAACCCAGGACTCTTCAGTCTTCGGGCTGACACTCTATCCACTGAGCCAAATCGGCTAGGGAATGTTAGTGGACTTTTGACAAAAGTGTCAAGATAATCCAATAGGGATAGAATTGTATTTTCAACAAATGGTGCTGGGACAACTGGATATCTTTATGCAGAATAAATAAACTTAGACTGACCTCTCACCATACACAAGCATTAACTCAAAAATGGATCATAGACCTACATATAATGGCTAAAACAATAACCTTTCTAAAAGTAAGCATAGGAGAAAATCTTTGTGACTTTTGACTATGACACCATAAGCAAGATCCATAAAAGAATAAAATGGATAAACTGGACTTCATCAAAATTAAAGCATCTGCTTTTTTAGACCCCATTAAGAAAATGAAAAGACAAGCCATACACTGAGAGAAAACATTTGCAAATCATATAGCTGATAAAGACCTCATAGAATATACAAAGAGTTCTTACAACTCAGTAGTAAGATAAGCAACCCAATTAAAAAAAGGGCAAAATATTTGGGTAGAGAGTTCATCAAAGAAGATAGAGAAATGACTGGTAGATACATGAAGAGATGCTTAACCTCTCTGACAGTCTTTATGGAAATGTAACTTAAAACCACCTGAGAAACCACTACACCTCTATTAGGAGGGCTCTACTGAAAAAGACAGACTATGCCAAGTGTTGGTGAGGATGTGGAGAAACTAGACCCCTGACACAGTGTTGGTGGGACTGTAAAGTGGGGCAGCCACTTTGGAAAGCATTTTCACCAGATGTTAAACATAAATTCACCCTATGATCCACCAATTCCACTCCTAGGAATTCACCCGAGCAAAATGAAAACAAATGTCTACAAAAAGTACATATCATAACTGTTCATAGCAGCGTTACTCCTAATAACCAAAACACAGAAACAATCCTAGTGTCTGTTAACTGATAAATGAATAAAGAAAATGTGGTATATCCACAAAATGGAATACCATCCAGTAATTAAAAAGGGATATATAGGGGGGATAAATGGTGATGGAAGTAGACCTGACTTGGAGTGGTGAACACACACTACAATATATAGTTGATGTATTATAGAATTGTACACCTGAAACCCATAATTTTATTAACCAATGCCACCCCCAAAATTCAATTAAAAAAGGAATAAAGTACTGATACATGCACAATAACATAAATTAATCTCAAAAACATTATTCTAAAAAGAAGAAGCCTATGTAACAGGCTACATGTTGTCTTATTCCACTGATATGAAATGTCCAGAACAGGCCATTCGCAGATCAGCACAGCACATTAGAGGGTGCCAGAACTGGGGGTGGAGGCGGAGATTAATTGCTAACGGGCAGGAGGGGAACTTTTTGGGGGTGCTGAGAAGGTTCAAAAATTGGACTGTGGTGATGGTTGCACAACTCTACTAATTCACTAAGAATCAATTGAGTTATACGTTTATAATGGGTAAACTGTCATATGTAGATTATATTTCAATAAAGCTGCTAAAAAAGAGTCCTCACTTTTTTGAGACACAGCGATATTAACGGAAGAAAGGCTAAGATGTCTGTGAACTGCTTCAAAATGACATGGGGGCAGCGGGGCTCTAATAAAAGACATGAACGAGACTGGCTGAGAGTCCATAGTGCTGCAGCAGGTGACGGATACAGGGGGGCTCATGCTCTTCTGTCCAGTTTTGTTTGTTTAAAAATTTCCATAATAAAGAGTTAGGAAACAACACAAGCATAGTGACCATTCTGGGGAGGTGTATGAAGCTTCCTTTAAAGACATCTGCACAGAACCTCCGGGGCAGTGCGCGCTCACCTGGTGAGTACCGCATGACGGACAGCTGCTCGTTCCCATCTGTGTGCACGGTGACCAAGTCTTTTGTTTCTGTGTCAAACACGAACCACCTGTTGCCAACAGGAGAAAAGTACAATACGTGGTTTAGTGGGAAGTGAAGCAAGACTATTACAATAACAGTCAGACTATTAGAAACTTTAACCCAAGGGCTTAATAAGTCCTCTGTATTACTTAGCAAGAACACCATTCCCAGCTTCCATGTACAGAAAAGGTCCTACTTGCGAGCATACCCTACCATGGAGCACACCCTGACACCAGGAATGATTGGTTACCGAGGCTATGACGGCTTCCTTAGGTCTGAGTTTTGTCACTTCCATGTAAAAGGAGGGACAGCTCTGGGCAGAGAAGCGGGGCCAACACCTAACTCGGGGTTGTGGCCACAGGAAGTGGCAAAGGGACCCCCTGCATGGCCCCACCGCAGGGTGAAGCAGAACAGGTGCCGGGGTGGGGCTGGGACACCCTCAGGGGTGGTGATGTGCCCAACTGCATGGAGTGTCTGACCTCCGGGAATGCTGGCGTGCAACCAGCCGGGTGAAAGAAACGATGGAGGGAACGGAAGAGCGAGCAGAGGGCTGGTGTCTGAGGTTAACCCCTCTGGGCTGTTTCCTCAGCTGTCAGGTGGGGGTTGGGGCCCAGAACCACTGTGCAGACCCAGGGCTAAGTCAGTGCAGGCTGTAACAGATGCAGAAATGGTCCGAATCCCTAATGAGGACACGGCGCTCGGCAAATGTCCAACAGCGGATGACCCACTCTCCAAGCGGAGAGGCGGGAGCTCCAGCACCGATCTGCTGCCTGGCCTTCGGAGGCACATGGTCAGTAAGTGTGAGCTGAGTCTGAATCTGAGGCTCGGGATCGGGGCGGTTTCTAAAATTCTGAAAGGGCAGCATTTAAAGCATTTTAAATTCTCAGTGCTGTGAAATGCTTCCTTGCTCGATTCCGAATTGAGGTTCCTCCCACCACGGGCAGCAGAGGGCTCGAGGAGCAACTCATCCTGTGAAACTGGATACAAGGGTGTGTGTGTGCGTGCGTGCGTGTGTACATGTGCACGTGTGTGCATGTGCCTGTGTGTGCCTGTGCATGCACGTGTGTGCTCCTCCAGGAGGGGGCCACAGCTTCCCCCAGGGCCAAAACGTGAAGGACCCTGTCTTCATTTCCCTTTGGGGTTCTGGCCTCACTTGGTAAGTCACCAGAGGCTGGGGAAACACACTCCCTGAACCGTGAGCACAGCGCACTGCTGTGGACTTACCTCCCGGTCAGTGTTCCAACTGCAACCACAGACCCTGAAGGATGAAAACCAGAAGACTGAGCTGGATCCTAAAATATTTTAAAGGAAGTGTAAATTGATGGCCAGACAGCACGGTAGCATAAAAACACAGCACAGCCCTAGTCCCTCAGGGCCGTGTGGCCCCATTTTAAATCTCTTTCCTCTCCAGGGAGGAAACTGGGACTTTCCCTTTCTGTCTCACACCCTTTCACAGCTACAGTAGTCAGGTGGCAGGCAGGAAGTGTGCGCCCGTCCTCTAAGTCCTGGGAGCCGGCGCAGGTGACCCCAGGCCGCGGGGTGAGCGCCATCGGTTGGGACGCATGCCCACTGCACCTGTGCCGTTAGTTAGGTGGACTCTGGTTGAGTGTGGGGCAGCCTGGAGCCCTGGAAGGATCAGAGATGAGCAAGGCCCGCTCCCATTTGGGTCTGGGGGTACACACACGTGTTCAATGCTAACTGATACAAGATGGAACGTGGTGGGTGACAAGCTGTGGGGTCCCAGGAGCCGGGAGTCAGAGGAGTCACACAGGGAGGCTGGGTGGAGGCAGACGGCCTGACTCCCGCCTTCTGCCCACAGGAGGACCCCCTCGGTGGTGAATGTGGAAGTAGACACACCGGTATTTTGGGGGATCAAGGGTTAAGGGGACAGTAACGTGATAAAAAAGGTGGAAGCAATGTAGTTTGGGGCCCAGCTGAGAAACGGCAGTGGGTTTACGATGCCGAGTTCACGGGGTGGGGGACGGGGAAGCGTGCGGTGACACTGGGAATGGGGCTGCGTTGCTATGCTAAGGACTGTGGTCACTAGAAAATAGCACAGTGAGTGGTCTTTTTCTTCCAGGAGAAAGAGTGCAGGATCGAATCTGTGACAGACAGAGGGTCACCTGGCAGGGTGTTTAGGACACACTGAAGTGAGAAGAGGTTAATCCCGGGAAGACAAGGAAAGAGCAGCAAGGGAAACGGAATTAGGAGAAGGAGAAACTTCTGGATAAACTAAGAAGATGCGACCAGAAGCTCTTCAGGTATTGATTCTGTTATTGCGACGCTTTTTCCAAAGTGGGAGCTGTAGTGAAGCTCAGGCCGCCACGGTCACACAGACAGAGGTCACGGCCCCTCGAGGCTCCAGCAAATCATTCGTGAGATGAAGGCACTGAGGTTCAGGGAGGTCTTGTCCAGGCCACATGGCCAGAGGAGAAAGGCGGCAGGACTTAACTCTGGATGTTTCTGGCGTCCGGGTCAGTCCCCACCCTTATGCAGGTGGAGGGAGCTCACAGCCTGGTGCAGGAGCCGGCGTGTGCCCGGGTTGCTTTCAGCAGGGCTGCTGTGCTGGCCGAGGCCTCAGGGCTGGCCACCCTCCCGGACCGCCACTGTCCCTGCTGTGCCGGTGGCTGCTGTCAGATCGGCACAAACCCCTCATGTATTTTTCATACATGAAGCCCCTGCGTGGGGACAGGTACAAGGCAGGACCTCCTGTAGCCATGCCCTGCCACCCCGGGCCACCCCTCAGGCTCTGGCATCCCATGATCTGCTCTCCCAGCGACCTGACCTTCCCTGAAAGCAAAAAGCAGGCGGCGGAGACTCAGATCGGCGCGCTGGGGCATGCTGGCAACTGTGCGGGCTGCAGGGCGTGTGGGTCACAGAGGAGCCCCCTAACACGGGGCCCTGCAGGATGTGCTCCTGGCCAACAGCCGTGGGAGCAGT